GTTTTTTTTTTTTAACTCACATTTGTAAAATATAAAAATACCATTTCCCGTCATTCCCTTTTAGTTTGTATGAGTAGCTTACACTTTTATTCTATGATAAAATTCTCACCCAAAGAACTCCTTATTAACAAGTGGAAATTCTGTCCTGTTGAAACCCAGCCAATTCCTCTGCTCCAGGCAGATGTGTCAGAACAAGCCCAAGTCGCTATGTTGCTTTTCAGAGATTCTGTTCAAGGGGAAAAGATGAACTTAAGTGTTTCAATTTTAAATAATCTATATACCAAGATAGAGAGCCTCACCAGGAGGTCATCATATGTATCCTATGTGGAATTTTTATCAGATAGGCCTCCAGCCTGCGGTGCCACTGTCATGACCCACCCATTCCCCAAACCAATATGGTTGAATAGTATTCCTCCAAGTTTAGATCCTTGCAACCCATTCTCTATACTACAGTCTGAGCTGTTTAAAATGTAATTTACTCACATCTCTCTCCTTCTAAAAATTCTTCAGAATCTCCATATTGCCTTCAGGAGAAAGCCGAAGCTCTCATAACGCAGGAGGTCTGTCATGAGCTGAGTCTGTGTACCTGTCCACCTCGTGTCTCCCTTGCCACAAGCCTCGCATCACCCCTACTGCTCTTACCCTCTGCTCTGAAGAATGTTCTGATTTTGGTTGAAACACTTTCCCTTCTCTTCGTTTGGCTAACATCTTTGAGTCTCATCTCAGACTTCTTTCTCCTAATAGCCTTGCTTGATTCCAGAAGTCCCAATTCATAGAAAAAAATCCTATGAGAGATAACGCTCCTGGGAATTCCAACTCCAAATCTAAGAAATGCATCACATGAAAGATAAATGAAAGGTAGAGCTTTAAATTAAACTCTGATGTGCCACCCAACATGATCTAAATTTTGAAGTCAAGGTACCAAGTTCTGCTTTAAGTACTCTCCCAAGCAATTCCACTATGGGTCTCTTAGATACATCTTCAAATGCTTTGTTATTGGAAAATATCCAACATTGTTCTTTTAAAATATGGTAAAATTCCTCTGTTTAAAATGGCAAGCTTAATACACTTTAATAAAAGACATGTCTTATTGGATTGTCAAAAAAGTCATGACGCATTTTTGCAATGAAAAACGTAGAAAAAACTATATCATGACTTTTCCAACAACCCAATATTTTGAAAGCCCCTCACTTTGAGGAAATCAGAGAGAACATGGCTGAAGGAAATCCTCTTGGAGTAGTCCCAGCACCTAGTGGCATGAGAAAGCACTGGGTTAAACTAGAGGGATACTTGTAACAGAATAAATAGGTTTGGAGGTCACTGAGTCGGAAATTGCACATAAAATGAAAAAGGAACTTGGTTGTATTTAACCGGTAATGTCTGGGCAGCTAATTGGGTGGAGGCATTTTAAGGAATCCACACCTCCCTCAAGAGCCTCTGGCTATATGGAAACCACTGCAATCTGAATAATTAAAATCATACTTGCCACCTTTTCAATAACCTGCTGTGGGAAGGGGGTCAAAAATGGTATCTTGGGAATAAAACAATTTAATTGCTCTAAGTGCCAACAAGGGCAGGCAGAAAAGGTGATCTTGCTTCAGAGGGAACAACAGTTGATACCAAACAAGTCCCAGGACAAGTGCCAATTCCAGCCCTGTGCAGACCTGGCAAGATCTGAAGGTAGCCTAAATCTGAAGGACTAAGATTGAGGTTTGGCAATGGTTGTAGGGAGTGAAAATGACTAGAGCATAGTCCAAACTGTGGAAAGGTGTACGAAATGAGGCAGAGGAAAACTGAAAACCAGGTACAGGCTAGGTTCATGCGACTCAGGGTTGAAGAAAGCCTGGGAAGCCTCCTCAGCAAGAGTCGGAAGGGCCAGAGGCTGAGCTGCTTCCGGGGAGTAGCATGACATCAGAGTGGGTTCACTAGCAGCAGACTGTAGCTCCCTGCAGGAGGAAGAATAGGGGGTGGCCTCTGCTGATCTCCAGGTATGTCAGCCCTCAGGTCCAACGTGTGACCAAGCCTTCTGAACCCCGCCTGCCAGTGCCTAGGAAGCTTTTAGTATCCTCGCGGAAACCCCTGGGTTCAAGAGGGAAAGAAGAAATGGCCGTGAAAGGCGCCGCCCCCACTGAAGCCCCTTCCATTGTTCTAGGACAGAAATGGAAAAAAGCCCGTGATAAAGCTCAGCTCCAAGGTGTTAAGCATTACACTGTTTCTGAGACATGCCTCCAAGAAGCAAAACTTGACCTTGATTTTTGTGCATTTGACCTCAATTAGGACAATGCCAGTGTTGTCATTCTATGTCTAGATTTAAATGCAAAAACAAAGAACCAGGATGGGGGAATGCCACCCTGAAAACTTGAAAACTACCTTTCCTTCCCCTAACTCATCTTCTCTGGGTAAAGAAGGCACTCAGAGAAGAGAACTATTTGTAGCCTCCCCAAAAGGGGATTTGAACTGTCCCTCTCAAAAAAGAATTAGGATGCTTGCTCCCTATAAAATGCATGATGACTACTGAGATCCTATAAGCTTCCTTCACCCTAAAATACAAAGAATTGTGACTAGAATTATCAGATTAACTATATTCCTGCCTTTCTACTTCAATCTGTGCCCTCAGAAAAAACACATATGAAAAAGAAAAAAAAAATTACTTTTGAAGAAAAGCAAAGAGACGTGTGGCAATTTTAGTAGTGAAAAGAATATGGCCACTCACATACTTTGAACAAAGAAAACCTGTCAGACAACATCTTCCCTTTCAACCAAGTGACATCTGAATACTGAAAAGGCAAACTTCACACCCAGCCAGCAAGAGTGGTTTAATCAACCTTGGTGACAAATGGGGGTCAAGGCTGTCATAGCCAGATTAGTGCCAGGACTTAGGTTTCACCTTCATTTAACAGTAACTTGCTTCACAAGTCTTTATGCAACGTCTTTCAACAGGTCCAAGGGAAGTTATGTCTGATGTTTCCCCCCCTCCCCCCCCACCGGCTAGGTTAGGAACTTGGATGTTTTATAACATATGTTCAGGTTCACTGAGGAGACTTCAGAAGTGACTTTTCAGGAACTCACCTCTTTCTCCTGCTTGTCAATTATTAATGCCAATAACCAATTAAGTTATATTGGGCTGTTGGAAAAGTCATGATGCATTTTTGCAATAAAAACATAGGAAAAATATGTCATGACTTTTCCGACAACCCAATATTTCATTGTCAGAATTCTTAGTAGTATATTACCAATCATTTACATTGTTAATCATGACCTTTACAAAAAAAAAAAGAAACCAGAGCTACACAGAAACTGTATCCTCAAGATTTCTAATAGTCCTTTGCACACAGCACACATTCCTGTATTTGGTAAATGAAGGAAAAATTATGGATAAAGAAATGTATTGAACAATACATTTTTAGAAATTAAACCAATTATCATAAGTAGTTTCAAGATATATTCATCCTATTTAAATAATCTATAAAATGTGTTTTTTCTAATGATTATTTTGTATTTACGTGAAACAGATAAGACTCATTCAATTAAGCTGTGTGTTCTAGATTAAGTAATGTATATGAAAAACATCCAGCCTAAAAGAAAGCTTATAAGGGTTTATTTGAGCCAAACTGATGACAATTGCCAGGAAGCAAAGTCTCAACGGATTGAGAAAATGCTTCAAAAAATGGCCGTTTTGCAACTTATTTTATACAACAGAATCAAAGGAGGAAGGCTACATGAAATCCACTGGTGGTAGATTAAGGGGGTGGGAGAAAGCAAAGTGGGGAAATCTCTGGGATTAGATAAAAAGTAACATGGAGAGACACACAATTCTTTTACATTCATGGGTACAGGATAGTTAATAGCATTTTACAGCACATAGAGACACTATTTGGGGAACAAGATAACAATAAGGGATTTTGTAGAGTCCTGCTCTGGTGTGGTGGGTTGTGCCCCTTGGGGGGTCTGGAAAAAGAGATGACTCTGATATTGCAAGGGTGTGTTATCTTAGATGCAAAAAGAGGACAGACAGGTTCACTTAAGGTAAAGATTGACCTTTGTTAAGGAAGCTACAGGCCAAGGATATGACTATCAGCCAGGACTTGCTTTTATTGGGTTGTCGGAAAAGTCATGATGTATTTTTTCTATGTTTTTCGTTGCAAAAATGCATCATGACTTTTCCAACAACCCAATAGTTAGGAATTTTTTATGTTCAGACCATCGTATCCTGTTATTTTTCAGTCTCCTGAGCTTGTCAGGTTTAATATGTGGCCACCTTTCCATCCACAGTATAAATACTTAAAAACTAAAAACGAGCCAACCCTCCTATGTACACTAGCAACCCCAGGGCTGCCAATTCAAGTCCTGTTCCATTCCTACCCTCTTTAACCTTTACTTGGCCAAAGCAATAAATCACACGTGTTAGGTAAAGCCCTGGTGACACATTCGAGGTTAGGTATGGTGTCAGGAGTTGAGATTTGGCAGCGGTCTCTGAGGTCCCAAATAAAGCATGAAGCACAATTTGGGACCTCATTAAAGCACAAAGGGCAACTGGTGCAATGGGAGAAGAAAGGAAATATTCTGAAATGATATGGGGCTTCATTTTTTCCCCCCACAAGAATATTATCTTAAATATTTTAAAGCAAAGACTAAGATAGTACTGCACATAAAAGCTAAACCCAGGTTTATATTTTGGAACAATTTTAATAATGAGCTCAGTCAAAGAATGCTCCAGAACATGGGAATTGCACTGAGAAAAGACAAAAAATATGAAGTTACTGCCTGTCCCCCACCCACAATAAGTCTCAGGGTGCCATTTTTACAAAATATTATGGGAAAAATAAAAGGAGAACCATTATTGTAATACCTCACTAAAAAAAAAAAAGAAAGAAAGAAAAAAGAAAAGGAAAGTTAATAGTCACTTTTTGATGCCCAGCTACCCTCATTTGTTTGGAGGCTAAGGCTCCACAGTGAAAGCAAAGTGGAGAGGAGTTCCCCTTAACTATCTAAGTAATTACCTGAGGCGTAGGCTTTGCTTTGGCTGTGGAGACATAGTAACAACCATGAAGACCCTACTGAAACAAGAAGATATGAAGTTCATAAAATGCTTTCCAACTCCATTGCAGAAAGGTACTCGAACGTTACCTGAAAATGCAAACTGTGATCTTTTGTGACAAGATTAAAGAAAACCTTTTTTTATTTTTTTTATTTTCAAGTTACAATGAAAATAACTATTCCTGTATTTTCTCATATCTTACAGTGAAGGACATTTTTACTCTCTAATAATCCACACTAAGTCATAACTGAACTATACATAGTCTGAGAAGTGTAGCCTGCACTGGCCATTGGCATTTTAAAACACAAATGTTAGAATTACTTATTTTCTGGGGTCCTTTGATTTCCTGTTCCTTGCTGAGTACTCTTACTATAGAAATAAGGGATACATGTAAGGAAATAATTTTACGCCAGGAAACAGACCTCAGGTCTGTGCCTTAATTCCACAAGAGAAACATGTTAGACGCTAGAGAATGTCTGATGAAGTCCTAGAGAAATTTGTTAAGTAAATGAAGCAATTATTTTCAGTGCGAAACTTTCTACTTTTGGGGGATATCCTGCCATCTTGTTCTGACTTCCCCAGGACCTGTTCAGCTCACAGATGTTTGCCCCTTGCTTGTATTCAAGGGGCCAACATCATCATATCATTATATTTACCCACAGAAAACTGTGACACATGAGGCACTCTATCACTTCCTTCTGTTGTAATTTAAAATGTATTTATTCAGCATTCTAATCTCACAATGGTCAAGCACTAACAACAAGACACCTACTTCATCTGAAAGGTGACTTGTTGAAAGGCATTCAGTCAGATTTGAAGGACATGTCTCAGATTCTCTGCCTAAGCATTAGGGTCCCAAAGTAAAGTCATCCTTGGGAAATACTTTTATTCTCCTTGCCATGATTAGATTCTATTATGGCTGTAATTTCTTTATCTATTAGTCAAAGCTATCTTCCATTTTATCCTTAGAATATTTCATCTTCACCTTTCCTCTAGTTCAGTGGGTCTCAACCTTCCTAATGCCGTGGCCCCTTAATACAGTTCCTCATGTTGTGGTGATCCCCAACCATAAAATTATTTTCGTTGCTACTCTATAACTGTAATTTTGCTACTGTTATGAATCGTAATGTAAATATCTGATATGCAGGATGTATTTTCATTGTTACAAACTGAACATAATTAAAGCATAGTGATTAATCACAAAAACAATATGTAATGATATATTGTGAAATATTTATAATTCATGAAGTGTCGTTTTACCTCCAATACTGCTCCTTTCAACACAGCAGCTGCTTTCTACACAGTAGCTGCTCTCTACACATGTGTGACTGGTCTGCATAAGTACATTATGGCGCCAACCCTGTCACATACACCTGTATTTGTACGGGGTGTATGTGATGGGGTTGGCACGATGATGCCATCATACCGGGTATTCGCATGTGGGCGTATCTGCATATGGGCGGACCCGCCTGGAGACGGATAGAGGAGCGGTGTCTCGGTTCATAAGGCCATGGAAAATATGTGTTTTCCGATGGTCTTAGGCAACCCCTGTGAAAGGGTCATTTGATCCCCAAAGGGGTCGTGACCCACTGGTCGTGAGAACCTCTGCTCTAGTTGATATATATATATATATATATATATATATATATATATATATATATATATATATATATATATATATATCAACCTATCAAATCTATGGGTACCATACATAACAGAAATTCCTATTCAATCCATAGTGCCAAAATGTCAATAAAATTCAGGTTTCTGTGGAGCTCTTTCAGTGCACATTGGAGGGCTTCTTTTTGTTATAAGAAGTTGAAAAAATACAGAAGAGAGATAAGCTCTCCAAGGTTGGATGTGAAAGATAATCCTCACTTTGCTTCTGAGAACACTTCTAGTTCATTGTCATGTTGACTGTAGGTTGTTAGGGAACTGGAAGGAGGTAGAGAGGTGTTTTGTAAACCATGGGAGAGGAATTTTGTGACATATACATTGTGGTCCCAAGTGCCTCTTTGTGCAAGGCTGAAGCCCACTTTAGCCTTAGGCCTATCAGGTGGGCAGGTAAAGAGACATTAATAAAACTCCTAAGGTTCAGTGAGTTTCCATAGTTTTTCTATTAACTCATGACTTGAAAAGACCAAAAACAGGGTCCTGCACTGGGTAAAATTATCATGGCTAACACACTGGTGGATGATGACAAGTTATCTGGCTATTACGGTTTTAAAATGGGATTCTCAGAAACCTTAGGCAAGATACCAAAGTTATAAGACCAATTTTAAATCAGGCCTGCTCTTTACCAGCCTTCAAATGAGGCCTCAGAGAAACAATCCAATGATCTCTGCCCCACATATCCTATGAGGCTGGATTTCAAGAAAAATATGACAAATGAATGTATTCAGAGTAAAAGTTAGAGACTATTAACCAAGGTGTCAGTTTCTGGGAAAATGAACTAATAAAAAACATTGCATGGGATGGTTTAAAAAAAAAAAAAAAGACCAAGCTCTTTATATGGTGCTATCTCAAATAATTATAAATTTTTCCATGAAGTTTATAGTCCCCTAAAATTTGTCTGTAACACAATCTAGATTATAAGAACTCTGGGCTAGAGAGAAGGCATTTCTCCATAATAGCCAAGAGTGTTAGAAGGACAGTGTTCTGTAGGAGGATTAGAAGTTGGTATGAGAAGCTAATGTGTAAAAGAAATGGCAATTTAAGAGAAAGCTGCAACTAAAAGAGTAATGCTGTAATGTAGTGATTTCTTGCTGGCATTCTTTTAGGGAAATGGCAAATATCTCTAAATAACTCACTGGGATTTTTTTTTTTTAAGTAACATCAGGATTGTCATCATAAAACAAATGGAGAATATATCCTAAGGCCAATATTACACCGAAATCTTTTTACCTTGTTCTTTCCAAAATCTACACAAAGATTCCCTCAAGGTCTTAGAATGCTTCAAACAAGATGGCAGGAAATGATAGAATATATACTAAAACAACACACTTGAAGCAAGCTTCAAATAAAAACATTAATACTTGTAAAATTGAAACACACCATTCCAGTGAACAAAATTTTGCTGTGACTCAGTAAGGCTCGTGCAATGAAAGGCTTGGCAGTTATGTAAAAGAGGCACCTACTGGGTCCAGGACCAAGATTCCATGTTTTTACTGAGAGACTGAAATTCAAAATGTCCAGTATTAGAGAAGAAATGCAATGCGAGGTTTAAAATGACCAAGTCATGTAGAAACTTAACCCATTGATTTTATGAAAAAAGATACTACTAAATAAATAGTCCTATTTTATTACAAACCCTGTTGTGATGACCAAATTTCCATCATGCTTGACTACATTCAATAAAAACTTGAGATGGCCACATTTGTAAAGTATGTTTCCTAATGAATCTGGCTGCATCCTGTTTATGCAACTTAAGCCCATGGGAGAATTATATATAATTTATGAAGAAAGCTATTTCACAGGTTTAGTCTTTGGCTGTTAGAAAACTCATCAATAATTCAAGACCACAGCACATTATGTATAATCATTTCGTTACTTTCCCTTTTGCAAAAAATCATTCATATTTTAATCATTAAAAACATTCACATTTATAACAGCATAGAACATATCAATCAAGAAATCTTCCTGTTGTGAAAAATACCAAAAGAAGAGAAAAATATTATAAACTTTGCAATTTCACATTAGTATGTAATGTCTACTTTGTAATGCAAGGCAAATGATTCTTAAATAAAAAACACAGTGAACAACTGTTTTCATCTTCATTAAGATAAAAATAAACTTCAAAGGGAAATTTTACTGTGTGAAATTTAAAACATGGAATTTAATATATAAAAATGTATCATATGATTTAACGCTGAATCAACCACTTACTGGCTGAATTACCTTGGGCAAGTTGTTAAATCTCTATTATCTGCAGTTTCTTCATCAATAAGATACGTAAATTGACAATCACACTGATTTTTCTCAAACAGTAGTAATGAAAATAAAATGAGATGATGTATAAGTGAATGCACTTTACAACCCATATAAAAGTAAGATATTCTCTACCACCATCAAGTAACAGGATAAAAATAGTTAGAAAAATGTTATTTAAAAATTATTTGACATCCATTTTTAGGGAACTTGCTTTCAAAAGTATTCGTTGCTATGTTAAGTTTTCAGGTTGCACATTGTCATAAGTCTAATTTAGACCCTTTCATAAAAGTACACAAGACAATTTCACCTCCTTACCCAACCACAGCATATTTGATTTATACATAATCAAATTAAAGGTTTTCATCTTAACTGCATCAAAGCAAACTGGAAATGAAAATACATAATTGTAGTAAATTGAGAGACTGCCATAGTTTTTTCATTCCCAGAATGCATTTTTTATTCAGGGAGACTTTTCAAGTCTGGTCAATATATTAAAACAAAGTCAATAAATATGTTGAACAATGTGAAAACCATTCTGGTTGGTTTTCTGATTTTTTGGGGGGTTGGGGGGTGGAGGGTGTTATTGTTTTGTAAGGCCCTGTTTCCAGGGCACTTTCTTCTGACTCTCCAATAGGGGCTGGCTATTAAATTTAATGTTTTGCCAAAGCATACCAGCAAAGGACTGAGCAGATTAGGAACAGGACATTAAGGACAGGTAAATTATTAATTGATGTAGAGAGGTTGAGGAGCAATACTCACATCATGACATGCCAAAGACTAGATAGTCTGAAGTGGAATGAAAAACATATAGTGTAGTTCAACCATGGGCTCTGCAATCACATATGCTGAATTCAAAAAAAGATTTTGACTCTTGTACAAGTAGCTGTGTGGCCTCTGGCAAGGAATTAATTCCCTAATGTTTGGTTTCCTTATTGTTAAAATGCAGGTAATAATAGCATCTATCTCAAAGAGTTGTGAGGGCTAAATAAAAGAATCCAAGGGAAGTACTTAGAAAAGCACCTGACATACAGAAAACACTCAGTGAGTGTTAAAATGTATATGTAATGAAATAATGAAATGTAGACA